ACAAACTTTTCTTATAAACAACATGTCATTCAGTATTCATATCGTTTATAACATTTTCAATACTATTTCTATTGACACAGTAATATTCTACTTCTTTTTACAATAATAATTCTCCCCAGCACTGCTTCTTTTACAAGGAGACATCCTATTTTTTTTTATACAAATACAGTGTGAGTCTCCTAACGTTAAAATCTAAAACATTTTGATAAATTGTTAAGATTGCGAAGAAAGTTTATGGCTACAATTAAGTTCTCGCGAAATATTAAGGCTTTTAATTAGTTGGTTACATTTCAATTGTATGCAAAAGTGTTGGCCACAATTCCATTAATGTCACTGTACACTTTTTACAAAAATTAGTATAGATTTTGCTTAATTTTTCTATTTGTGATATTTTCTGTATTGTTAACAGTGATGAAAGATAATTTTCACTTTAACGTTAGTTAACTTACTGTACTCAAAAGCTTGTCGGACACCACCTAGTTCATTATTCAAAGGAATTCTGATGTCTGGCACGTGACTACTTATTACTCTATTTTTACTATATGGGAAACACGCAAACCTGAGCTAGATTCGAATGTACCTGTTTATCAGATGCAAAGCAAAATTGCTTCTATAAATTATAAATACAGCATTTCAGTTTCATTTCGAAGGGTGAGCTATATAACTTGATTGCCTTGAGTCACTTTGTCGGATTAATATTGAACGAATGCTTACGTGTTTTTCGGAAGTTAAAATTAATTTCCTCGCGTAAGTCTTTACATATACTTTATACATTAAACCTTATTCAATATCTAACATAATTATTGTTTACTTAAGCATTTCAAAATTAATTGCTAGATATTCTCAATTTCTATTTTTAAAAGTTTAGTTTTACTCTTGAATAAGTGGAACGCTAAGTTTCAATGCTAACAAAATTATAAATATTTTCGTTTTCTATTTTTCGAAATTTAATTTTAGTCTTGAACAAGTGGAACAATATTTTAATTACTGATTCGTGGCCTAGATTTCCTGCTAAATTTTCGTATTCTATATCCTTTTGTATTTTTATATACCTTATTTAATAATCTTTTTATAGATTTTCCTCGTAACCCGTATTATAAAGTATTTAAAACAACTATGAGCAGAGAATTTATTAAAGCTACATGTAATTCAAAAATACAAAAATAGAATCTGTCTAAAAACATAAGATAGCAAAAATGCACAACAATTTCGTGTTATATAATTTTAATAAATAATCATTTCTATATAGTTTCTGATGTTTGAGATATATATGTACCAAGTATATACTTTGGAAAAGTGTGTGTTACCAATTCGATGTATACAGATATTTTATACAATAAATATTGTAGGAGTTACTCGAGCTGATGAAGTTATGCAAGCCGCCATACACGTTAAATAGAACGTATCTGGACCGTTTAAATCGATATTTAAGGAAATAGTAATTAAGTGCTTGTTATGATTGATAAGATGTTGAAACTTTCGATTTCTGGCGATTGTTTTTTTGTTCCTCTAGAGAATTAATACTACTTTATTCCGTTGCGTGCCGTATCTGCTGTACAATTTTGCAATAACCCGGTATTGCAGTCCTAGTTGCAGCGTGTGTTGCGTAGAATCTCTCGCGGTGTATAATTTCGGTAATGATTCAGCGATAATCCAACGGAAATTGTGTTTGCTTTGATATTCATTCCAGCGAAATGTAATTTTATTTCGGTCAATGATCATAGGGATCGAAGGATTGAATACGAAATCGTGCTTCGAATATTGTTCGCTTGACAATTCGCGAATGATAAACGTATCATTAATTTAATCAATATTTTAGACGATTGGATTATATTAATTCTAAGTTCTCGAATTTTAACTATTTCTTTCCGACAAATACAAAATGTTATTTTGACTGTACTTCGGTTGGTTATCCATAACTTTGAAATTGTTAATTGAATTTGTTGGTACCCGATTGAGCATTCAAAAGAAGAATTTATAGAAGATAAATGTTTATTCGTATACTGTGGATGTTTATGACTTGTATCTTTGTAGCAAATTTTTTTATTGTACATTTCAATTGTGAATAGAGTCCTCTCGAGAAGAAATTTGTATGATGGTCATTTAAATGATAAGAAAGAATTATGAATACATGCATAAATGGATGAAAGAATTGAAAAAAAATTAGTTATCTGAAGAAAGATATGAAAATTCACAATTTTCAATGATATATATTCCAAGAGCCGTTAATTTCTCGAGGCGAGAATGTATGAAATTAAAACCAAATAGCTTTATTCACCGGCTGAGGTTTTTGTTTCAGAGTGTTTCAAATGTTTGCGTGTGCTGTAAGGTCATAAAATCTGCTACCTACGCATAAATTGAATAAAGAATTTTTTGCAATGCTGATTTAATGTATACTCAGGCTAGCAAGGAGACCGAGATAAGTATTTTTCAAATGAATGATACATAAAGAAGGAACATTCGTGATAAATATTCTTTGACAGATAGTGTCGCGATACATGATCTGAAAACCAACTTGTTTTAAATATCTTTCTTACAAAAAGACGATTCATAGTTTAAGGATATTGTGCATTTTATAGCTTCTCAAATTTGAAACTTCAAACATTACAATTAGATTAAAAAAAGTTCCGCTCATCTTAATTGTTAAAAATAAAAGTATAGGAGAAACAATAATTGAAGTAATTCAAGTATACACATAATTTTCATTTTTATTTAATGAGTTATTATATATTCAGTTTCCTAAATTAAAAAACGGTTACTATCGCATTGAATCATAAATAATACACTTTTCGTATACTTACTTTATTCAAAAAAATTAAAATAAGCAAAACATTCTTCAATGTAATTACAATGTAAAGAAATATAACCTACATATAATAAGAAATAATATATTTCAGATTGAAGAACGTTTTGCTTATCTTAACTTTTAAAAATAAAACAAATATGAAAGAATCTCAATATTTATGGGATAACCCAATATTTCCTCTCTGTTTTTAATCGATCAGTCAATAAAGACACAGTTGTGCATAAACATCCACAACGCAAACATAAGTTATAAACGGCAGTGTGTGTACGTTTCGTGGATTGGGCGCATTTGCGTTTAGAGTAGACTCCAAACAAACCGGTTGCAGCTGTAATTTAACGTTTCGTAGTTCGCGAATACGTGACGAGGGATAGGATACTATAAAACCGAATCAAAAAGAAAAAAACGAGCGAGAGAGAAAAAGCAGAAAAAAAGATGAAGCAATACATATTTTGTATACGTTTGGAAAATGGTGAGGATAGCGAGAGTGTGATCGAGAGTGTGCGCTCCGTTCGATGCTCAGAAAGCGTAAAGAATTCAGCGTACTTCGCGGTGTGCCCGGCGCACTTGAGTATTTTTTTAACGCGATTTCGTCTTACCTGTAACCGACGATTATTTGCAAACATCGGTTTAAATGCATTAGCGTATAAGGAGCTGCTTATTAAAACGATTACGCCCGTTTCGTTCGGATTATAATTCACGATCTATTAACTCTTTGCATTCCGAGCGTTCCGAAGTTCGTCGAACTTCTGCAACCTGAATAGCTGAAGTAATTAGGGGGTTTAAACATTTGTAAATTTGAATTTCAAAAGTTTCAGGCTTGATAGATGTATCGGTACATTAATATTATCTGGCAGATTTATCATTGTCGTGCATAACTAATGAGAACTGTTACGTTACCGTCTTATCGTATATTAAAATCATTCGAACACTTTTTCCTGTACGTAACATTTCCAGTTTGTTTTTTTGTACAAAATAACTGGTTTTAGTGTTAACTGTATTATTAGTAAGGTATTTACGTATTGTATGGATCACCTTTGTTTCTTACCTGAAAGGTTAGTCGTCTGTATTAGGTCAGGTTAGTATTTATTTAATATTGTAATATTTTATTTTACTATGTTCAATATTGTAATATATTATTCTGTTATATTTATATTATAATACATTATTATTTTATTATCATTACTATTATTACTAATATTTTATTATCACTAATATTTTATGGCTTAAAAAGAAAATACCATTAATAGTTAATAATTATATTCTTGATTTGTGTATTTCGTCCTAAGGATACTTGTTTCGGTAAAATCATCGATGTTTTCTGCACCAAAATATATCTGTTCATGCTCTCGAAATATTTATGCCAGAGCGCGTTTCTTCTCAGAGCAGAATAATTGGAATGCAAAGGGTAATTTCTGTCTATTACGTTTTCGCTTGACAATAGGATTATGCAATTCCATCCATTGTATCCGATCGAACGTTAGCGATTTGCATAACAGGTGAAGGGTAATTTGGTAGACAGTGATTTATCGCAGTATTGTTTAATTGATTTCGCGTTTTTTCACCTAAGTGCCAGATAATTCTAAGACTCGCATTAATTTCTATCGAGTATCCTTGCGTTGGATTCAAGCGATTATTATAATTAATAACGGCTGCTCGAGCTCAGCTTCTACCTCTTGATTTGATTATTTTCAGTCGCGTTTGCATACTACACGTATACTCCAGGATCGATGGTCGATGTGACGTATCCCATTACGATTATTGATAAACATACTCCAGTCTAAGAACGAGTTACGAAATATTTAAAAGAAAATTTAACGAAAAACCAAAAATCACGTAAAAAAAGGAAACGATGAAACAGAATTGTTCACATAGTTCGCACGTTGTATATGTTTGTATACTATGTTAACCCGATCTAGTGGATGTCGTAAACATGTATACCTGTGGAAGAAAACCATATAAGAGGAGATAAATAAATCAGAAACGAGGAATTATATTTCATCGACGCCAGACATGTGTGACCTCAATTTCCTTCTGTCCTATTTAAATCCGCTGTATCGTCGATTCGTGGAGTGTCATCGATTGCTTTAGACAGTTAGTATTCGAAGTACTTATTTATAAAGAAGACAAATCGATTGCGAAAAATGTAATATTTCTTTAAACGGAGGTACAACATTGTTTTGATTCGAATCGTTGACAGTCAGTACTCGAAGTATTCGTTTATTAAAAAACAAATCGAATCTAAACAGTATAACATTTTTTTAAACAAAGTTTTGATATTGAAAATTTATTATATATTTATGGTATTCATCACAGACTTAACTTAATTAACGCTTTTAAAAATTATTCTAGCTCAATTATACATGTATATAATGAATTTTTTATTGATATTACACAAGGAATCAATTCTCATTTTTATTCTACTTATAATGATTTTCAATGCACGCTGCGTAACACCGATCCTTTGCAGTGACTTTCGTCTTACTTTTACTGTTTTGTAGGTCTAATCATGACCCGGAATATTTCGAAGTTATCTCGGACCAGTAAAACAGAGAAATATGAACAAAGATTAGTATTAGGCAAATTCTTAAGTTATCCATGCCTTTCCTGTAACCATGCATCTTCATTGGCCTCTTTATAGTTGCATCATCGCGATTAACGTATTAAGGTGATAATTGCCAGCAAACAAGGCTTGCTTTCGTGCTAATTACAGTGAAAGATGAAAAGAATGACACAAAAACGAGCCGCCAATCAATAACAATCGAAGAACCGTGGCCTCCATTCTTTATAGTCGCGTGACTGGTCTCGTTTAGTGACAATATAGGGTGGGAATATAGTAATTAGGATTTGAAATAAAATCCGTTGCAACGAAATAGAAGGATAATTAACGTGGATAAAATAATATTATTAACGATTATAATATATAATATGTAATATATAATATATAATATATAATATATAATATATAATATATAATATATAATATATAATATATAATATATAATATATAATATATAACATATAATATATATTTAACGATTGAAATAACTTGGACAATTTCTTATAAAAATAGTCGTGCGTTTATTAACAGTCAACAACACTCTTATCTTCTGTTCACGCTACAAATGATCAATTCAAAACAGAAATTCCGTTTCCGCTTGTCTACCGTTTTAAACCTATTTACACAATACACATCGTTTAAATTAAATTTCACTTTCCTATCGACTATACAGAGAAACATAATACTTATGAGAATTTATGTAAAAGAAAAAACAAGGGAAGAGAAAGAAAGATACTAAATACCCCTTACTACGCTAAACACAATAACGTATACGATAAAACTAAAGCGTATTGAACCCTGTGACAGGCGTGAAAACCGTTCGTTCTCACTATTGCACCAACTGAAATGTAACTATATTGTTCCGTTTCAATTTGTTTCCCCTATGGTAATGGCCATTCTTTACGTGGCTTTTGACCTCAGCTGAAACAGGCACAGAATTATGAAACCCAGAATCCACGCGCTCAGCACCATGAAACCGTGGTACACTTCTGGATCGTAAAACGTTCTGCCTTTTTCCAGCACACCCCTCAGAGAGATGCCAGGTAGTGTTAAAGGTAAAGACAAACTGATCCATCGGAGTAACTTCGGCATCCCCTCCACTGGCCACATGAGACCTTTAAAACACGAAGGATTCTTAGTTTAGTGGTCGTACGACGGTCAACGTCGACAAATAAGATATACTTGAAGAATCAAGAATATACAGGATAATTTCGGGTGAGATGGCTAGATCTCATTTATGTTGGTCTAATATCTATATTTTCAATTGTTTTCAGTGTTGTGCTCAATCTTGCACAGAGTCCTGTTTAATTATTCTTTTTATGTGCATTTACCTTCATAATATATATTTTTAAGTAGACGTTAATAATGTTTATGATGTAACGCTTCTTTCAAAAGTGGGTCATCTCTCCTCGACTTAACCCAAATGAATCAAAAGAATGTTTTCCTTAAGAAAACAAAGTGAGTGTGAATTATTATCGTTCGAGACAGTCGTCGAGTGTCTTTGAACATGAATAATGAGTACAAAATATTTTAGAGCTGCCATTCTCTACTTTACTTCCTGCATATATGACTGCTAATTATTTATCTATTCGTAGAATAATAACATTGGATTTGATTAATGCGAATTTTGAGCAGTGCGTATTCAATCATTTTTTTATCATTCCAAATGGAAGTAGAGAAGTAGATTTATTTTATTATACTCAAGATACGTAAGTTAGAAAAGATACACAAGTCCTATATACAATACAGTTCCTACAAAGTGTGATTTTGTCCACGTGTTAAAAATTATACACATATAATTTTTTAGCGTTGTTTCACGCGTTTGAATTAATTAAATAAATTATCCTAAGTCA